CCATCTGCCACTAACTCCAGGTTAATAGGGTGAGTTTCAAGGGCTGCAGAGCACTGAGCTAGAGCAGCACAGCAAAGCCACATGCAGAGAAAAGCACTGGGACGTGGTTTAGTAGTTGTCAATTCCAAACATTTAATGGAATTTGGGTTCTGGAACCAGAGCAGTTTCAGTCATTAAAGAAACTCCAAAACCTTAATGCACTTTGTTTTGCTTAAGCAAGGCATGAAAACCAATTATCACAGCAACCAGACATTAAATAGTTCCCACAAAAATATTTAATCTCCACAGTATTTTCCCTCAGTATCTTTAGTGGATTCTGTAGAATTTTACAGGAGACAATACACAGACTAACACATCAGCTTGAACTCCTTCCTCTGCTTCTCACCTCTTCCCCCTGTGTAATTCCCTTTGTCCTTTTACTGCACAGTTGTCCTTGACATTAATGTTTCCATGTGGAAAGTGGAATTGATGCTCAGCACTGCACCCCTTGCAGGACACAATGATTGGGAGTAACTGGACACCAGTCCAACAAACCAGTGAAGCATTTTACATACAATATGTACATGGAGAGCACGTTCTGCAGCTGAGGCTGGGACAACATAGACAGCTCAGGGAGGATCTGCAATTCCAGTGGCTAACTCAGAGCTTCCTATGTCAGAACACCTGAAATGAACAATTCCAGACATTCACATGATTCATATCCCCTGAAGGGATGATCAGCACACAAGGATTTGCCTACATTGGGATCCAACACACAGAGTCTCTTGAACGTTCTGCCCAACAGTTACTTCCTTGGCACCACAGCCTGAGGTTAACTCAGCATGAGGAACAGCAACCAAAGGGTTCTCATAACAAAAAGCACACGTGAGTGAGAGCCCAGGAGGAGACAGCACAGTCCCAGTGGTATCCAAGCACTGTGACCCCACACACATCAGTGCTCCTTAAAGTGCTCAAAAGGGATCAGGTAGCTGAGAAGGTCCAGCCCAGTGCCAAACTCCAGCAGAGAGCTGGAAAGTCAGCACTTGGCCTTGGAGAAAACATCTCCAGGCACTTCAGTCCCTCAGTGCATCTTCCCCCTCACCCTCCCAGCAACAGCACAACGTGGGGATCACCTGCTCACTCGTCCCAGGGACCATCTCAGCTGCACTCCTGGGGAGAGATGTTTGCAACCCAAACTTCTGAGGACACTGAGGTGATGAAGCTGTTGCTGTGCACCCCCAGTTCAGGGGCAGTAGCCACACTGCCAGGAGCACTTAAAAATCTGGGATGCTTCACTCCATTTTGGAAGAGTTTGCAAGTGATCTAACTGTATAAAAATACAGTTTAGCTGTAATATTGCTCTGAAAAGCACTTTTGCAAACTGTGGGGTGGGTTTGTTTTTTTTTTTTTTCCTGTACAGACTGGTAATAACATTACCAGAGAATATAATACATATCTTAAATAAAAAAAAAAAAAGGAAAACTCTCTTAAGTCTTAACACTAAAGTCTAAATAGCTTGTTTAAAACACAACAGTGTGACCCAGGACAATTCTGCTTGCAGGGTTAAATTATAGCAGCATGGTTACTGGCTTCTCCAGGAGGTTCTTGAACTCAGCCAGCCAATGTGCTCCCACTGCCCCGTCCACAACGCGGTGGTCACAGCTCAGGGTGACAGACATCACACTGGCCACGTCAAAGCTGGAAGAGAGTGGGGGAGAAGGGAAGGAAGAGGTTAACACAACTCCTCTGTGCAGGTCAGAGCCACTACCAGAGCAGAAAGGCTTTTTGAGGAGAGCCAGGAATAGCTGCTTGGTGGTTCTCCCTTTGGGCTGCTAAAAAAAATCAGCTCGGAGAGCAGATCATGTTCGTGCCCTTCCTGAGGAAAACTAAGAGACTAAGTTAACTAATGCACTGAGAAGCTTTGTGTGTTCTCCTTAGGACAGGGAGCTCATCTCTCCTGGCATCACAGGAGCAGCCCCAAACCATCCAGGAGAAAGAACCATTCAGCCCAGTAAGCTCCAGTTTGCCCATGGGTCAGTGAGTGACACCAGGAGTGTTAACAGGTCTACGTAATCTGAAATATTCTCCTGGGTCTGTGCCAGTGCAAGCTCCAGGCAAGGGGATGTTACACACAACTCATGGGAGATAACCCACCCCTTAGGTTCTCCTTAAATGCACACTCAGCAAGTTGTTAAAGAGGAACAGGTGCCTAAACCACTGTGGATCCCAAACTTTTGCACAGCTTAATCCTGCCCCTCAGAGGAAGCAAACCCAGCCTTTCCATTTCAGTGTATCCGAGGGTTTTCTAAGTGGTTAGCTCAGGGAGGTGTCAGAAAAACAGCCACAAAAGCAGCCACTGCTGCAGTTTGCATGGAGAATGAGCTGCCACCTTACCCTTTCTCATTGTCAGCTGGCACCAGCCGTTTCTCAGAGGAGCCCACTGCCAGGATGCAGGCCTGGGGGGGGTTGATTATGGCAGAGAAATTCTTAATCCCATACATTCCTAAATTGGAGATTGTGAAAGTACCACCCTGCAAGAAAAAAACACATTCGTGGTCAAACTCACAAAAGCTGTTTCATGTGGAAACATGAGGAGGTTGAGGGGGAGACCTCAGAGCTGTCTGCTCCTTCCTCAGGAGAGGAAACAAAGAGGGAAGCACTGAGCTCTCTGGGACCAGTGACAGAACCCCAGGGTGGAGCTGGAGCTGTGTTGGGGAGGGTTAGGTTGGATAGCAGGAAAAGCTTCTTCCCCCAGAGGTGTTTGGGCAGTGGAACAGGGTTAGGTTGGGTATCAGGACAAAGTTGTTCCCCCAGAGGTGTTTGGGCACTGGGACGGGGTCAGGTTCAGGGTGAGATCGAGAATGCCAAGGCCCAGGTGAGGAGCTCCTCAAACCCTGCCCTGGAGCAGGAGAACTTCCAGGCACTGATCCCTTCTGAACAGGGGCAGAACCTGAGGGAACAGCTGGAGATGTGTCAGGGGAGGGTTTGGGTCTTCCGGAGAAGGTTCTTCCCTCAGAGGTGTTTGGGCACTGGGACAGGGTCAGGTTGGATATCAGGACAAGGTTCTTCCCCCAGAGGTGTTTGGGCACTGGAACAGGGTTAGCCTGAGCATCAGGACAAGGTTCTTCCCCCAGAGGTGTTTGGGCACTGAACAGCTCCCCAGGACCTTGGCCACAGCCCCAAGGCTGACAGAGCTCCAGGAGTGTTTGGACAACACTCTCAGGCACAGGGTGGAATTGTTGGGGCTGTGCAGAGTTGGACTTAGACCCTTCTGTGCCCATTCCCACTCAGGATATTCCCCGATTCAAACACCATGAAACAGGTGCAGGTGAAGCAGGTAAGAACAGCCACCTGTAACATCAACCTGAGCTCCTCACCTGGAATTCATGAGGCTGAAGTTTCCCTTCCCGGGCCTTGGTCGCCAGGGACACCACGTCCTTGCTGATGGCAGCCAAGCCCTTGATGTGAGCGTTGAACACGATGGGGGTGATGAGCCCTGCAGGAGTGCTGACAGCCACACTCACATCCACCACGTGGTTTCTGCAGGACACAGCAGCTCCCACTTACTCAAACCACCTCACAAACTGCTCAGCCAACCCTGAGTTAACTCTGCATCAATTATTTCACCTTCCACATCACCCTCAGAGTTCTCAGCGCTTCAGCAAAACCCTCTCAAAGTCAGTATGTTGTTCCCCTCCCTCAAACCCAGCAGAATTTCTGCTCTTTTGCCATGAACTCTCTACTGAAGGAAGGAAGTTTCTGGCCTCGACCGTACCATAAACTTACTGCCTAATAACTGTGTCCATCCAGGAAGAATTTGCCTCGGGCACCTTCAGGCATGCCAAAGCAGAAGCTTTAATCAGGAAATCATTGACAGAAAGCTTAATGTTATCCGAGACCTCCTGCAAACAGAGACATTCCAGGTGTCAATGTGTGCCCAGCTCACCTGGGAGGCACTCCACGTGCACAGGAATTGTTAGAAAACAGCCACCCCACTTGCAAGCAGAAATATCTGAACATAATTTGGGAGGTGAATTCATCTCCTCCATCATGTCAGAAGGTACAGTAGTTTTTCCTGTTTGTTTTTCCCTCAAATTTGGCTTAGGATTCTTATTTTTCTTAATTTTTCTACTCCTTTTTTTGCTCTTCAAAACCTTTTTGCCCTGTTTTCTCTCTGCACCAAGCAGAGCACTGAGCAGCTCTTAGGGAAGTCAGTACCTCAAAAGTCTCATTGTCACAGACTCCAGAAGGCACTGAAAAGCCTCTTTTTTTCCCCAAGCCACAATGGAATAGCACCAACCCCAGGGTAGGCAAAGCTGGGAGGGGATCTCACCATACCCAAACACTTTACCTGATTGAGTTCTTTCCTTAGCACCAGGACTTGTTCCATGTTTATATCAATGGAAAGGTAGTAGTGAGGTATTGTTTGTTTGGACTGCATCAGCCTCTGAGCAATGACCTGGGGAGTGCAAAGGGAGAGAGGAAAATCAATCAATCAATCAGACTGGGAAGTTCACCATGCAAAATAATCATCTTGGAAAGGAGCAAAACCTTCTTACCCTCCGAATGTTGCTGATGGGGATGTCTGTGAAGGTTCCCTCAGGTGCTGCTGCCACTGCAGCAGCTGCAGGAACTGCCTCTGGGGCTGCAGCCTGCAGAGAAACAGCATCTCAGAGCCACCCAAACATCAGCTAACTCCCCAAGCTGAGGCTGAGCTGCCTCTCGCTAAGAGCAGCAGCTGTTTCTCCTCTCAGCCTCCCACAAGGCTCCCTGTAAATCCTGTGTCTGACCATTAAATGCAGTATTTGAGTGATCTGCAGTTGCTGTGGAGCTCAGGACACCAGTCTTGCTGCCTGGTTGTTTTCAGAAGCACACACAGCAACACCTCTGGAAAAGACAAGCTGTGGTACCAGAACAGAGTTGGGGCAGCAGTGACAGCAGCCTGGTGGTGCCCAAGTCTGGATTTCCTCCTTATCACCTCTTTTCAGCAATGTTGGATCAACTGCGATTGGGCTGACCTCAATCCACAGCAATTTAGCAACCAAATGAAGGGTTGGGAGCTCACTATTTTTTTTGCTCAGTGAAACATCAAAGGGACAAATAGAGGGAGGAAACTTCATCCACGTTTCTGACAGGCTAAGCTGCACAGCCTAAGCCCACACAATCCCTCAGCCACAGTTCTATGCAGGAATTGCCTTTCTACAGAGCATTTCCACTACCATAACATCAATTCTCAGAGATTTCAGCTCTACTCACTGGAGCAACCTTTGGTGGCACAAATGACTCCACATCCTTCTTGGTGATTCTACCATCTGGTCCAGTACCTGAAAGGGTCAGAGCCAAAATGTAAGAGGATTTTAATGACTTCCAACAGGGCTTTGCTTCTAAAGGCACCAGATTTATTAACAGAGAGGAATCACTTAACACAACTCCTGGTGAGGAAAGTCAGGATGTTCCTGCCAGGGAGGAGAGAAAAGAACAGGCAAGGATGTGTCTAGAGGGACACACCTGGGAGTGAGAGCAAGGGAGTGGAAAGAAACTGTACCTTTCACTTGGGCAAGGTCAATTCCTTTCTCTGCTGCCAATTTCTTTGCCAAGGGGCTAACCAGGATCCTTCCTTTCCGGGGGGGCCCAGCTGTGGGGGCTGCTGGGGTGGGGGCAGCAGCAGGCTGGGGAGGAGGAGGAGCAGCTGCAGGAGTTGCCATCACCTTAACAGAAGAATCCAAGCCATTAGCTGAAGGTGCAGGAAGGGAATTGGCCCAGCTAATAATTCCCAGTCAAGAGAGTAACAAATGTAGTCACTAATCTGAACCACTAATCTGAATTTTCTAGCCCAGTGGCAGGAGGTAAATTCCCTAGGAAGGAGCTCAACTGAGCTGCTGGAATATCCACCCCCCCAAAAAAAAAAAAGGTGAAATAAAGAACTTGTGCTCCCAGTTTTCAAGCATGAGACATTAGAAGTGGCACCAGCAACAGGCTAGAGAAGAGATCATAATGAATGAAACCTGCTCTAGTTTTTAGAGGGCAAACTAGTGATCACCAACACAGGGACCAGCCTTGCAGCCACAAATCACAACCACTACTGCTCCTGCCAGGGCTTCCCACTGCAACCCAGCAGAACAGACTGCCCAGAGGTTCCCATGGCTCCTCTCACATGCTAGGAACAGTCCTTACTAGTGGAGGAGGAGCAGGAGGAGCTTGTGCCTTCATGTCAGTGACTGCAGCAGCCTGGTAGTCAGCAAAGGCTGGAATATCAGCCTCCTTCTCCACGATGATGCAGAGAGCAGTTCCCAATGGCACATCTCTTGTCCCTTCAGGCACCAGGATTTTTGCCAAGTAGCCTTCCTCCTGCACTTCAAAGCCTGTGAGGGACAGAAACAACACTGCTTTGGTGTCTGGGGCAGCTGAAGAGTTCCTCAAATGCTGCTTCTGGAAGCAGCTAAAGCCCTGACCTGTACTGAGTGGCAGGAAAATCCTTTTCAGTGCAGCTAGGAAAGAAACCTCTCCATGAACTGTGTGTTGCTAGGGATTGATTAGGAAACAGAAGTGTTTCAAGGAGCTCCAGTGCTTAGCTCCCCAATGGAATGAGAAGTTAACAACACTTATTTTAGCTGTCCCACAGCTTCACCCCCTGAGCAGTGAGGACAGCAGCTGGCACAGAGGCTGCTGTGGACCCTTTCAAGGGCACCTCACCCACTCCTGGCTTTGGACTCACCTATTGTAGCTTTATCTGTCTCGATTTCTGCCAGTAAATCTCCCTCATTCAGCTTCTCCCCAACCTTCTTCTCCCACCTCTGCACTGTGCCCATTGTCATGGTGGGTGACAGAGCAGGGAGAGTGACCTGGGAAGGCAGAGAACACAAGAGAATCAGGTCCTGGTGATCCAAAGGATCAGGGACACAGTTTGAACTCCTGATAAATGATGCCAACCTAAGGAAGCAGCTTTAAAGCACTCCTAGATCTGGCTCCAGGACAGCCAAGCAGAGCTGGCACATTGCTGCTGTGGCTTCTTTGAGCAAGGTCTGAGCAGGAGAGCAAGCAAAGGCAGAGAGCAGGAAATCTGGGTATCAAAATCACCACTGCCACCACCACACGGGGACAGTCTGCAGCTGAGATCTGCGAGGCTGAAAGGAGACTGAGGCAAGTCACTCTGGGACACACACGAGGAGGAGAACTGGGCAGGTGAGGCAGGCAGAGGGGAGAAAGCAAGCTGAGTAGCTAAAACACAGATTAAGAAGTAAAATCTCAGACAAATGTTTCATCTGTGGGATAAGGCCTAGTGTTTCACATTTCCTTAGTCACAGGAATGTCACAGCAACACCCTGACACAAAGTGCTCAGGGACAGCAGTGGATGTGCACTTCACAGCATCTGAGCCAGGTAAAAAACATGATCCACAAGCACAACTCACTGTTTGTTAGTCACCCACAGACCCATCTGGTGTGGTCAGCTCTCTTACCTGCATGTGAGGAGGGTAAGAGCTGCCAGGAGCCTGAGGAGAAGGCTGAGGTGGTGGGGAGGGAGCTGCAGCTGGAGGAGGAGGAGGCACTGAGGCTGTGGAGGGAGCAGCTGCTGCAGTATCCAGAGTGTAGTTTTTAAAGGCATCAACATATTCAGGCCTAGAAACAAACACAGAGCCCCCAAACCAGTCAGGTGAGGGTCTCCAAGCCTTCCACAAAGGCACCCCAGAAGCCCCAAGAGAGGAAATTGAACTCAAATACATACTTTTCTACTGTGATACATATTATGGCCCCAATAGGAACATCCCTTGTCCCTTCTGGCACCAGGATCTTGGCCAAGTAACACTCCTCCATGCTCTCAAAGCCAACAGTCGCTTTGTCTGTCTCCACCTTCGAGAGAGAACAGGATATTGCAATGGCAACAGGACAGACTGGTGAGCTCAGAGCCTTTTACAGGGTCACCACACACAGCTCAGCCCTGTGGCACCAGCTCTGGTGCTCTCAGACAAGGAAAGTGCTGCTCCTGCTCAGCAAGAGCAAAGTGGCAGCTTGGAAAGGCTCTAACAGCCTCTTGCTCCCAATGATAGCATAGAGTAAAATGTTTGGAAGTGTGGTAGTCAAGGTAGACCTTAGTGACAAAGATGGATATTATGTTTAGTCGAGCAACACGAATTTATATGTACTTGCATATCCATCTGTACATACCTGCTTGATTAATAGATTATTATTTGCCTGATTAATAGATTATTATTATAAGATTTTGAAACTATGTTTGGGGGGACCATAACAACGATCAAAGGGAACTTGAAGTTATGCCTAGGGAGGATTGTAACAATAATCAAAAGCAACTGGGATCCATGCTTGGGTGAAATCAATAGAATAACAGTAATGTAATTATTAATCTATGGTTATGTAAGAGAAGAGTACAAAATGTATCCACCTCTGATCCACGTTGGAGTCAGATTTGGGTCTGTACCCTGACTCCCAGAGCTCTTCAATAAAAGCACCCATAGAATCATTCAGGGATTATGTGTTTTCTAGGCTAACACCAACAGCATCCGCTGGGATGGTGACCCTGAGCCCCAGATCTGTGCCCAGGCAGGGACAGCACACTCAGGGTGCAGCTGCAGCTCGGGGTTACCTCTGCTATCAGCTCTCCCTCGCTGATCTTGTCACCTTCCTTCTTCTCCCAGCGTGCAATGGTGCCCATCTGCATGGTGGGGGACAGTGCTGGCAGGGCCACCTGTGGGGACAGCACAGGAGGGTCACACTGGGCAGAGGGAACACAGGAGGGACTGATCTCCAGAGGGTCAGCACTGCCCCAGGGAAACCAACACTGGGTGCTGAGACCGGCAAAGGGTATAGGGACCAGGTCCTGGTTTGGTCTGCTAAGGGACAGAGATGGGTCAGCAGAGGTTGGGATGGATGACATAAAGGAGAGACTAAATCCCCAGTGAGTTAGGACTGCCCCAACCTGCTGGTGACACCCCAGGGCAAATCAGCAGTGGGTGCTGGGATCAGGAGAGGGTTACAAGGACAAGGTCTGGTCTTTGCCTGCCAAGAGATAGAGATGGATCAGCACAGGCTTGGACAGAGGGCACAAAGGAGGGACTAAATCCTCAGTGGGTCAGCCCCAACCTGCTGGTGACACCCCAGGGCAAACCAGCACTGGGTGCTGAGACCAGCAGAGGGTTATAGGGACCAGTTCTTGGGCTGCCAAGGCACCAAGAGGTGCAGACAGAGAACAGCAGAGGAGATTCCGATGGGGACATAGGGGCTGAGTCAGGGGCTTGGCAAGGACAGCAAACCACGGGAGAGAGGGAGAGCTGTGGCCCTGGGGGAAAACTGAGCAGCACAGGGAGAGACTGGGGGTGAGAGGGGCTGGGGGTGAGAGGG